TTGTGAACAGTTTTCACTACACTACTGCAGTTTGTTCGTGTAACAAGAAATTTAAATATTACAGTTGAACTGAGATTTATTGCAATATGTCTCAATGTTGTTTTTCAAATAACAGCTACTGGGGGTGTGGGTATAGTATTAACTCTCTTGCCCCCCTGTCAACTTCGAGCCAGCTACATGAGCCCAAGATCGAACTCAGGTTGTGAACAGTTTTCACTACACTGCTGCAGTTTGTTCGTGTAACAAGAAATTTAAATATTACAGTTGAACTGAGATTTATTGCAATATGTCTCAATGTTGTTTTTCAAATAACAGCTACTGGGGGTGTGGGTATAGTATTAACTCTCTTGCCCCCCTCACTTTGTCCTCATGAAAATTCTTGCCTTCTTCCACAACCTGAAGAAGAAACTCCCTCCGCATGGATTTTGGAGTATGGATCTGAGGCAAACTGGGGGGGAGGGGTCCAGACAGACAAAGCATGGTTCTGTTTCTGAAGGTGCACCCCAATGGCAGTAGAAAGTAATCAAAAGGCTTACTCTTAGAGTAAGAAGAAAGCATGTTAACTGCATGTGCACATTGAGCACATCATCTAATCTAAGCTTCAGTTACAGTAATAAAAGACCAAAGATTTGCTAGCACAGACCAACACAGCTATCTCTTCTAAAAGTAATAAAAGAGGCAAGCACATCTTCCTCCACCATCTGCTCACGACTATAGTATTTTTTCAGAAGAAAGACTACGTGAAAACAAGACACACTTGCTGTTGTTGCTGCTGTTATTTATACCCCATCTTCTACTACAAAGTTGTGCTCGAGGCAGCTTAAAAAATTTGTAAAACAACAAAAAGAAGTAAAACAAATGTACAGTGGTTCCCTGCTAGATGATTACCTCGCAAAACGACGAATCCGCATGATAATGAGTTTTTGCGATCGCTAGAGCGCTTCACAAGACAGTGTTTCCTATGGCCGATTTTCACTATACGATGTTTCGGTCCGTGCTTCGCAATATGGTTTTTTTCAGGACCGATGCTTCACAAGATGACGATTTTAACAGCTGATTGACGCTTCACAAAATGGGTGTTTTCGGGACCAATGCTTCGCAAGACAGCGATTTTGACAGCCGATCGGCGCTTCACAAAATGGCTTCCCTATGGCTGATTTTCGCAAAACGACGACGATTTGTCCCCATTGGAACGCATTAAATGGATTTCAATGCATTCCATTGGGGAATTGCATTTCGCAAGATGATGTTTTCACAAGACAGCGATTTCACTGGAACGGAATAACATCATCTTGCGAGGCAAACTCTGCCATATCAGACCGTTTAAAACTTCATAATAGATTAGACATGTATCAGTTCAAAATGTTATATTTTTACACTCTTCCTAAAAGCGGTGAAGATTAGACATGTATCAGTTCAAAATGTCATATTTTTACACTCTTCCTAAAAGCGGTGAGAGTCAAGAATGCTCGTAGTACTGAAGTCAGGGAGCTACACAAGAGAAAACCCTTTCCTGTGTGTCTGTTAGGCATGAGATTTCCTGTGTTCAAAACTAAGAGTCAGTTGGTTTGCTTTGTCACCAAAAGCTGAACACAAATATGCCCCCAAAGCATCTTTCCCCTGTTCGGTCAACTAATGGCATGGATGGATGACACCAGATGACAAAGTAATAGGACAGCAAAAGCCGTAGCGGAGAAATGAAGCTGAGGAATAATGAGAAGAGAAAAATTAGATGGTTAGGGTGATATAAGAACTCAAAAGAAGTGAGTGCTTGTTAACTGAACATTGACATGGGGACGAATTTTAAAAAACTCAATATTTGTTAAAAATCGCTGATTCATTAAATATTCATCAGTTCCAGAGACCCCGACAAATACGAAAGGACAAATAGTGCCCCATTTTTATTTGTCCCCTATAGGAAGAGAGGGAAGGCTAGCCTTTCCTGTCTTCCTATGGCCTTCCCATTCTGCCTATGGACCCACCAGTCAGCTGATTGGCAGGCTGATAGGCAGCCCCGCAGCCACCCCACCCCACATCCTATCCCCCCTTCCTCTCCCTACCTTAGCTGCTGCCAACATCCACCACCACCCATCGCTGCCATCATCCATCACTGCCTGCTGCAGTGGCATCTGCAGCCATGGCCTACAGTAAGGGACACTGGCTGCCCTTTACAAAGATGGCAGCTGTGGCTTCATTTAGCGTAGGGAAACTGCAGCTGCCATCTTTGCAAAGGGTAGCCTGGATTCCCTTAGCCTGCCTTAAGGGAATCCAGGTTGCCCTTTGCAAAGATAGAGGCTGCCACTTCCCTACCCTAAATGAAGCTGCAGCTGCCATCTTTGCAAAGGGCAGCCAGTGTACCTTACTGCAGGCCATAGCAGTGGAGGCCAGATGGAGACTGGGGTGGCAGTAGTGGTGCAGCAGTGTTGGTGGTGGCAGGGAGGTGGCAGATGCATGGGGGGATGGCGTGGTGGTGATGAGGTCAGCCTCCAAGGTAGGAAGGCAGGAGGGGCAGGGGGGAAGGCTGTGAGGGTGGGAGAGTCAGCTTCTTTTTAAAGACAGCCTCTGGCTATCTAAAAAAATACCCTGACAAACTGACAGATAAATTCATGCTCCATCAGTTCATGGGGGGAGCTTTGTGCTTCATCAACAAGTCAAATAAAACTTTGACGGATCACAAAGCAGGATGAATCACCAAAATGGCAATTCGTCCCCATCTCTACTTGAAAGTAAGAAAGCCACATGCAGCTGTTCTTTGGAGCACATGTGATCTCTCCTCATATTTTTTTATTTTTGCAGAGAAGCTTAGGAGCAGTAGCAAGAAAATCTTCCATGCTCAGAATATATACTGTTATTCTTTTCACTTCTGACTGATCCTGCCTATTACAAATACATATTTAATTTTTTTAATAAAACCATTACATATTTGGGAAAAAAAGGGTTTCTATGTGTAAGTAATAAATCTCCTGTGGCATGTTTACAATCACAATGGCTGAATCTGAGAATGCTAGTACATCATGGTGCCTTCATATTTTGAGAATCAACCTTTTCATCTAACAGATCCTGTTTGAAACTGTGTCTTTAAAAAGTGAATGCTTCTTACTGTTCCTTGTGGCTATGCTTGAAAACTGGGATTGTTCAGGCCCTTTTGGAGGCTATGCTGACACAGAGCAACAGCGGACTGTCAGCTTATATCCGTGCCAAATTTGGTAATGATCTAAATCCCAGACTAAAAGTTGTAAGGGGGGGGGTTATCGCATATTTACAATTGCTTTGTAGAATGTTGATTTGCTCTGCCACTTGTGCAGCAATAATTTTGTTGTTGTTATTGTTATGTGCCATCAGGTCACTTCTGACATGGCAACCTTATGAATGAGTGCTGTGAATAATGTCCTCTCCTCAGCTACCACACTCAGGTCTTGCAGATTCAAGCCTGTGGTCTCTTTTAGGGAATCAGTCCATCTCATACAGCAATAATAACTCTAGTGTAAAAAAAAGAAAGAAAGAAAGAAGAAATCAAACTCTGGTGATTATGAGCAGGAAGAATGTTAATCTATAGGTGACATTTTAATTCAGAAAAACACACTTGTTTAATAATATTTTTCTTTGTAAACACCAAGGAGGTGGAGGATGATTAAATGCTTGCATTATCTCTTAGATTGTATGCTTGAAACACATTCAGTGGCACTTCAGTTTGGCTGGACCATTGTGCTTTGAGTTGTTTGCCAGTTAAAACTCTCAGTATGGTAAATTATTATTATTTAAAGACAGTCAAGACCTGTGGATAAAAAGAAACACATTTCACTCACTAGAGTTATTTGCGAATGTACTTATCCCAAATCTGGGGGATAATTGATATATCACTATAATTTGCTGGGATAAATAAATGCAGTGAGAATGTAGAATGATTTCTTAGCGTGTTTTGACTGAAGAGCTAGCATTGCAGTCATGGTCATGACTTCCATTGTGCAATCATTTTAATTAAGTCAGACTATAAAATTAGTCTTGCATGAGGAATGAATACACTCTGGAGATTGTGATAGATTGACAGCTGCCCAGGGAGGAAAACATGTTGTGCTGATGTTTTCCATTTGATTGGAGATATGTGTACATGCTATTGGTTAGGCTTGGGTGATGATGCAGATCTTGACCAGCTAAGATATTTGCTGCTTTACTTCAGGGATCAAGGAAAGAACCTGACAGTACATTTTTCTAAAATGATTTTATTGTTTGTTTTTATGGAGGCTTCTGTTGTGGATGAATAACAACATTGCCCAAGTAATAAATTTTAATTAATATCTGTATCATTTTGGTTACTGCTAGTTTAGTAGAGCAATTAGTGTAATTAGTAAGCAGCATTGCTTGGTGGCATGATAAATCACAGTGCAGAGTATGTTGACTCTTCACCAGGATGATATATTGTCCAATTTACTCAAATTTAATGCACATCCAGGGAAACCACAAAAGACAAAGAAATATTGTAACAGCTGTGGGTATTTTTGGGTGACTCCTAGTGAGTTTTCTGTCTCAAATATTTTGAATTGGTCTAACCTATCAGCTAATTAAACATCTTGTTACTTTTAATGTTAATTTTTGAACTTGCACAGAAAGAACAGTAGGACAGAACATAATTTTTTATGGCAGACCTTTCCTCTATTGAAGTTTAAGGGTGGCATGCATGGCTGTCCTGTTTCTCTTTTTTGTTGTTGACATTGACTTTGTGAATGAGAGAGTAGCTAGTTCAAAATTACCCCATGGCATTCAGTGTGGATTAGAACATAAATCCCCTAAACTCCAATTGGTCTGACAAGCAGGTCATTAACACTGTTTAATCCAAGAGTAACTTTACGTGGTTTATTGGACCTTTCTTCTTTCCTGATTGTACATAAAGGGTTTTTTTTGTCTGTTTGTATCAAGGTTGTAGTTTTTTGTGTAAGTTCTCTGATGAGACATTTCAAAATGTTGTTAAATTGGTGGCCTTGATTGTATTCTCTGTCTTTCAGAGCCAATGAGAACACCCAAAACTCTGAAGATTGCTGAAATCCAGGCACGCCGTATCGCTGTGGACTGGGAATCTCTAGGTTACAACATTACTCGCTGCCACACTTTTAATGTTACCATTTGCTACCATTACTTCCGTGGCCACAATGAAAGCAAGGCAGATTGCTTGGATATGGACCCCAAAGCGCCACAGCATGTGGTGAATCACCTGCCTCCTTACACAAATGTAAGCCTCAAAATGATCCTGACTAATCCTGAAGGAAGAAAAGAAAGTGAGGAGACAGTTATCCAAACAGATGAAGATGGTAGGTTCAAGCTGGTCAATATTTTCCCTCAACAACTCCCTTCAATGCCTGACAAAAGAAGTGTTGGAGAGAATTGTTTATTGTGTAGTTATTCTTTCCTGTATTGTGTTTATTTTTTCTGTTGCATTTACATGACCTTCCTGAGGGCAGCCAAGACTACATTGTTTTATAGGCCTTTGAGGAAGGTGCAATGATGGATTTGAAGTTACTAAAGAAAGCTGACTTTTCACATTGCTCTTTAACTTCATTTTTTAATCTGTGTTTAAGGATTCTCTTTGTTTGGTTTCTTCTGTATGCATTTCTTTGGGCACCTATGTGACCTAAGAAGCCATAAATAAGTATTTGCTTTAAACAAAGTAGCTATTGCTTGCTACTTTTCTCTGGGGAGCTCAAGACGGTTTATATGGCTCTCCTTCTACCCATTTTAGCCTCAGGGTCAGGGTGAGTGAGAGCAATTGGCCCAAAGTCAACCAGTGAGTTTCATGATTCAGTGGGGACTGAGTCCCAGTCCAACACTAAATGCCATGCCACACTGGCTTTTTCTTATTTACTACATATTCACGGTAGCTTCTGAATAACTGTTCATTTTCTTTTATAAAAAACCCCACAAAAAACCTAGACAACCTAGTGCTTAATTTCATTGTGAAGTTCCCAAACAGAAGTGACAGACTTGTCAAAGTACATCAATGTAAATGTCTTTGATATGGGGAAAGAATCCTTTCCTTATGAAATCTTTTAATATTGGAGAAAGTGAACAGAGACCTTGTTGGTGTACAAGATGCAAGAGTAAACACTAGGATAATCTACAGGAAACTGTATGGTTTCAGCCCTAGTGCAAACTATTTACCCTACATTTTCTTTGCTTAGTTAAATGTTAGCTTTGGTTGCCAACCATGGTTAAAATGAAAGTTAGGTTTGCTCCTAAATTCAGTTCAGTATTTAAGTTTGTTCATGATTGTCACAGGTAAACCTGGGTGTAAAAGGAAGAGAAGAACCATTAATCCTTGTGAAGGATTCTGTGAACTTATATTTCATGCTGGCTTCTGCATTATCTCTGACCAGGCCAGAGAGAGTCTCAGGTTCTTCATAAGCATTACTGTGTGAAAATGTATTCTGGTATTTATCTTTTGCAAATGTCTATATGAAAATCAAAATAATGTCAACAAATTTCTGTTTACAGTGTTGATATTCTTTAGTTTCACTCAGTAATTACAACCAGATAAATTGAAATTGGTGCCTTTACATATTCTTTATTCAATTTTGCTAACAAGATAACTTTATGTACTTCAGTTGAGGAAGATAAAAGATGCTTTAGATATTTGCAAAGCTCTTTAGTGATTACGCTTTATGAATCTTAATTTTGCACAAATTAAAATAGTGTTAAATGAAGTTTCTAATTAGATGGAAATTATAATATATGGAAGTAGCTTAATGTTCATGTAGCTGAGTGAGTTACTAACTGCATATTTATGGGAGGGAATATAAAAATATGCATTTTCGGGGGGGAGCCTGTGCAAAACCATATAAACTATCTTGAAGTCATTGGAAGAAAGCTGAGATAATTGTTGCTTTGTTTATTGCAAATATTTATTTATGGTTTCTTAGGTCACAAGGGTGACCTAACCAGAGAGCAGTCTACATAACCAGATTGTTGAATTGCATTGACAAAGTCTGTGGAGGAACTGAAACAGAGTTCACAGACAGAGGGGACATTTCGCACACTAGTGAATAAGGACATCAATAGCAGCATAGGGTATTATTGGCCTTCTGAGCTGTCTTTCTGAGAATATCTTGTTGACTTCCTTCCATGCATGTCAGTGATTCCCATTGACTTATGTTGGGGAAAGTAAGCTCAATATAGTTGGGAAGTTAAATGAAAAGGTTATCCCCTTCTCTCCATCTGCATGGGTTGACAGCTGGGGTCAGAATGTGCATTGACTCTAATGATATTAATACGGCTGCAGTAAATTTAAATACATATAATTGCAAAGCACCATGTGACCAAAGGACAAAAAGATCCTAAATCAGATAATGTTATTAATCCACATACAACATCATGTATAATGGCAGTAACAAATCTACGCTGTTGATTCAAGAATGTTATCTTGAGTCAGCCATTCCTATTTTGCATATAGTGATTAAAAGCAGGTTAAGTTCATCTCCTTCAGTTTATAAACACACAAAACATTTTTATGCATTACTTGTTTTGAAACAGAAAGTGAATTATCTGATGCTCTGTGCTCTAAGAGAATAGGATCAAAGTTGTCTGTCTGTGTAAATGCAGTTTCTTTCCTCAAACTTAACTTTGAGGTTTGAAAATTCTTGGCTTGAGGAAGTGGACTTGTCCACAGAAGTTCAAATTAAAGTATAGCAGTTATTTTTTATGGTGCCTGAACATTTTTGTCTTCTTTATTTTTTATTGAATAGGATCAAAGTTGTCTGTCTGTGTAAATGCAGTTTCTTTCCTCAAACTTAACTTTGAGGTTTGAAAATTCCTGGCTTGAGGAAGTGGACTTGTCCACAGAAGTTCAAATTAAAGTATAGCAGTTATTTTTATGGTGCCTGAACATTTCTGTCTTCTTTATTTTTTATTTTTTTATTTTGTTTTTGACTTGATATACTAGCACAGGCTAACACAGCTACCTCTTCAAAACCTCTTGGTTAGAGGTTCCTTTTTTTTAAAAAAAAATAAAGCTGCTAGTAAACAAAAATCCTGTAATGTATTACATTATTGTCTGCAGCCAACTGTGTTGTGACCAGTATGAGTAAAATGCTTGAATGTGGGTTGTTTATAAGTTTCCCCTCCTTGGGATACTTAAAGAGAAATGTAGGAATATAGAGACCCAACATTGTCGACTGCAGATGTTTAAAAATCTGTGATTTATATGCTTGCAAATATGTGTAATATAATCATGAAGTTATATAAGTTTACATACAAGGTTTTCAAATGCTGTAATGACAGCTTTCAAGTTCCAACTTTCATCCTTCCATGAATCATTTTCTATAGTCAAAACTCTACACGTATATCATATAACAATTTCCACCAAAAACATACCAAGTTCAGACAACCACCACCAAAAGGACAAACTAAGATATTTTCTTTGGAACCTCCTGCCCCCTAGTGATACTCATCAGAATAAGGAATGTCTGTTGGAGGGTTAAGAGGGAGCTGGACAAGAGACATGATCAGTCAACCAGTTGTTTAGCTGCTGGATTGTGGTTCTAGGGAGCTGGACAAGTCCATGATTCTAAACCTTGGATCTCCAGATGTTCTTGGACTAAAATTCCCAGAATTTTAGTCCACACCTCTAGCTGTGCTAGCCAGGATTTATGGGAATTATAGATCAAGAACATATGTGGACTCACAGTTGGGAATCACCATGATAAGTAGTGCATAAGAGACATAGTCGTGTTTGTCTTGAAGGTGGCCCTAAAAAACAAGTGTGTTATGGTCCCTTTATTGCTCATTTCTGAGGTGAAAAGCAGGAAACAGCAAAAATGCCCTGGGTATAGTAAGAGCTGTTGTGCGTTACAATATAGAAACACATAGTTACTGGATCTGGAGCAGGAATGTGGAACTCTTCTTCTGTTGTGGAGCAAATTTATTTAATTTATTATTTAATATATTTATTTTTACTCCACCTTTCTTCTTAAGAAGGAACCAAGGCATATTTTATGAAACCACGTGCCAGCACTAGATAATACTGAAACTAGTTGTGGGGAAGGTCTTCCCTCTGTCAGGCAGACTCCCACCCATGCCTTTATCTAGTTTTCTTCTATCCCAACAGGCATTGGCAGAGAGAGGAAGGCTGTTTTTCTTCTCAACATCTTTTCAAGAATCACTTGTTGAGGAGAAATTACAGAGATCACAATTTGCCATCCCCCAAGCCTAGTCCTTAACAGAGGACTAGTTATTTTCAATTTATTGTTGCCACTTGTCACTATATCCTTGTGACTGGTCAAGTCCTGGAAACTGTCTGGACAAAGAAGCCATTGGTAGTAAAGGTGGACCAGTTGTTTAGCTGCTGGATTGTGGTTCCACACTATTATGATCATGTTCAACCCTATGGTCCCTTCCAACTTCAACGAGTCCCAAATTGCTTTTGGAGACAGTAGGGTTGCAGTAGTCTGCAAAAATGTTTTGAGTCTTTTGAAATGAACACTTCAGCACTGTACAGAATATAATTGTGTTGATTTGCCAGACATTTCATTGTCGTCTGTCATGTGCACATTCAGCTGCCAAAAGAAGTCTGTCACCTGGGCTGAGCCCTGTGTGGTGCATGCTTCATTTGAACTGTAGATAGGGGAACACAGAGCATTCCCATGGAAAGCAGAGTGCTGCCTACAGCACATCAGCAAGTGCCACAAAACACCACAGAGGGACTGTCAAGGCACATCAGCTGTCAATTACTGTGGATTCACTGTCAGAATCATGAAGCAAAGAACAGCAGTCTTCAGCTGACTGATGGATAAATACACCTCATGCAAGATGAGTGAATTGCATCAGTGTAGCTATGGTCTTTTTGCACCATGAATTTATTTTTAATTTATCAAATTAAATTCCTTCCTCAAGGGGCTCCATATTATTTATAGTTTCATACCGCATAAAATAAATTTGTCTCTTCTGATGGACCTCTTGTTTTCTGCAGGATATTTTTTCTTTGATCTTTTAATTTATTTCTTGCCACTACAAAATTACAATATGTTTTGAAAATAAATCTTATGGAAATACCATGTATAGAGCATGGGAAAAACTAATTCAGATAGCCTGGTGAATAAAGGTTTGAGTGTCAAAACAGAAGCAGCTGGTTAGAGGTTTTTTAAAATTTCTCTTCTCTTTTTGGTTGCATACAACTGCTTTCTGGAATATATGCCTCCTCTAGATGATCTGCTGATAGGTAGAAATGGCTGTAAGGCTGCTTCAGATACGACCTGTCAAATCAAAAAAGAAGATGATACTGAGCCCATTCACTTGTGGCTGGGATTGTTATTTAAACAAAAGCAGCAGCAACAACACACACACAAACATACATGATTTAATTCACCAGATGAGTTAATTCTAAGTCAATGGTGCATTAGCTTGATAACACTCTGATTATTTGACTTAAGGGCAATAGTTTGTCTTAAACATATGTTCAACCCTATTTTTGCAGTGCCTGGTCCTGTTCCTCCAAAATCATTAAAAGGAACCCCCTTTGAAGATAAAATTTTTCTGAACTGGAAAGAGCCTATGGATCCAAATGGCATCATCACACAATATGAGGTAAAAAAAACCAGAACACAACTGGACAGAAAATACATGCTTGCAATGATTTCATTAATTTTTGATGCAAAGTCTCTTCCCACGTTTGTTAGTGGTATCTTGATCTTCATCACGATGTGGCTGTATTTGTCCTTAGTGTGAATTATGCTCCTTTGGGTAGGTTATTGTTTTTAGGATTCCCCCAAGACTTGATGCTATGCCCTGATCTTCACTGGTTTATTTATTCAGCATACATCACCATAATTATCATGAAATCATGGAACATGTCCATAGTAAAATTACCCATAGTCAGAGTGGATCTTGGGAAAGCAGAAGTGCAATTTTCACAATTTTATGATAGAAATGAGATATTATTTAGGTTTGCATTTTTCGTTTGGGACTGTTTTCAGGATCGACGCAGATAATGATAAATAAACTTTTTAAAAATGTAACTGTTTATAGAACACCTCAATATATCACCACCTAAATTGAAGTGCAGTGTTTTGCCTTTCAAAAACCTGTGCATCCATGCCTCCGCCTTCTGAATTTAGCATATAAAATCATTATGTTTTGTTAATAATACATCAGATTAAGTTACTCAGTGATGGAATTAGGGAAATGGTTAAAGAATAAGATTTAAGTGTGATGTTACATAATAATAATAACAAGCATGCTCTTGCCATTATGCTTACATACTTTTAAATAAACAGTGAAATCCAGAGTTTCAGTGTGCAGCTTTGATTTTGATCTGGTAGCTTTAATAAACAGCATTTCAGTGTCATGATTTAATGGAGCACTGCCCAGTGAAGGCTGCAGGTAATATATGCAATAATTTATTAATATAAATCAGAGATTTCTAGACTTCAAGGTAACATTTTTCTCCTTCAAGAAACTTTACATGCAAATATTCAGGATTTTTTTTTTAAAAAAAAAAAAACCTTAACAGTAGTTTGATAAATGAGCCCTTGGAGAATGAAGGAAAAACAATAATTTTGCACCCAATTTCCTCTATTTATCATTTCCAGAACTGGGCAGCCTTGGCAATACTATTTTTCTGCTTAAAAACAAATTAAGTGCCTCCAAGAGGCACTTAAATGCTTCGTATGTGTATTAACATGACCTAGCAATATGCTAATCTTTGCATATCTCATTAGTATTTTAAATCCAGAATTCCCAGTAGATGTAGATGCTGCTACTCTAATGGAAAAAGTCAGTGTATAATGGGGAGCCTTAAGTACATGTACTGAGGTAGTTTATGTACACAAAGCAGTTTTAGCAGAAAGAGAAGTATTAGGGAAAGATGCCCTAATTCACAAGATTACTTAATATAACTAATTACCCGTATTTTTCGCTCCATAAGACGCACCTTTCCATAAGACGCACCAATTTTTTAGGAGAAGAAAACAGGAAAATATAATCTGTTTTCTTCGCTCCATAAGACGCACAGACTTTCCACACACACCCCTGTTTTGTGGGGGAAAAGTGCGTCTTATGGTGTGAAAAATATGGTAAATTAGCTAGCAAAGTTGTTCCTGTTGTTGCAAATAAGGTTTCTGTTGCCTTCATCGGGATATTACATATAGTCTGGAGATTTGAACATGCCTGCCTACTTCTTGACCAGCCATGTTCAATGGTGCAGGCGCCGAATAAACTACATGTCTGGTACAGCAAACTGGGGAAAATATAGACCTCTCGCAAACTACAGGATGTGGCTGGCTGAATTCATCTTCGATGCTCAGAATTTGTAGCCAAAGTTTGGAAGGAGTGAATTCTGCAATGATTAGATGAAGCATTTTAATCCTTCATGTCATCATACTAATAACGGCAAACTCATTGTTTCTGATACAGTAGGAGGAGAAAAAAAGATGGTGGCATGTCTATGGCTACTCTGTGTGAAGCCTAATCTAAAACCTTCACCATTCTTTAAAAGTTAACCTCTCTTTTGAAATTCTGCTAAACTCTGAAATTATTTTCACAGGTCAGTTACAGCAGCATCAGATCATTTGATCCTGCAGTTCCATTGGCGGGGCCAGCTCAAACTGTATCGAAGCTCTGGAACAGTACGCATCATGTCTTTTCTCACCTACATCCTGGGACAACCTATCAGTTTTATATACGGGCTAGCACTGTCAAAGGTTTTGGACCAGCTACCGCCATCAATGTGACCACCAATATTTCAGGTAATGCTAAATGTAAAACCAGTGATTTACCATATTAGACTTTTCTTTCATAAACCATGTCCTATTCTACTCATGGATCAAACAAAAGTTTTAGCAGTGAATGCATAACAAGTTTACATGAAGAAGGCAATGCTGCTGTCTTTCACTGATGAATACCAATCCTTAATTAGAAGACGATGTACACACTTTGAAAACCACGTTGCATAGTCTGCATTTGGCAGTTTTGCTGACAGTTGCCCAGTTTTTCTGTACAGTCACACGTAGTCATGTTTCTGCAACATATGCTGTTTGCTGGATTGCAGCCCAATGTTCATTCATTTTGCTGAAGATACTGTGAGAACTAGTACTAATATCCAAATGCAAACACATAAATGAAAATGATGCTTTTCTAATTTTAGAACATTCATTATCATGTACAGAATCTCCTAGTGTTGACAATCCATGTAAGCTGGTCCTGCATGTGAGTATAATTATATGGAAGGTCAAGACATTTGTACTCCTTAATTTATTAAGGGGTAGTTGTGAGCCTCCTGTTTAGAACTACCAGAATGATGGAAAATCAATACAATGTGCTCATTATTGGCAGGCATTGGTAGTTCTTGCAGTCATGCTTGTATATTATGCTCAATCTGTAGATCAGCTTGCATTCTGATTGGTTTAAACAAGGCAGTTTCATAATCCATTGATTGAAGCTGCTTATTTTGAAACTAATATTCAAATATAAAGGAGTCACATTGGGTCCACCCCATCCTTCACCAACTTCATCCTCCTCCTTCCACTCTAACCCCACTCATTCCATTTCTGGTTTCATCACTCTCCTACATGTGGAAGACAATTACCTTGAAGAGGAAGAGCTCCACTGTCTGTGGGGGCTCTTCATGTAAACCAGGGTCCTGATTTTCCAGGGCCCCGACTCCTGAGGAGAGCCCCCATAAAGAACAGAGGATCTCCCTTCTTCATAGTTGTTGCCCTCCACCTATAGGAAGTAATGGTGAAAACAATAGGGGCAGAGCTAAAACACTGCATAAGGATTCTACCTGGCTTTTAAGAGCTAAATAGGGCTTGGGCCAAGCAGGGTTTAAAGTAATCAGAAAACAAAAGTTTCCAACCTTCTTACAGTCATGCACTGTATGAGCAATCTGCAAAGCTGTTAAGCAACATACACATTTTCTCAGTTGATTAGCAGAGCATATATATATGGGCAGTGGACCATGAATGTACTCCATAGTATGTCTAGAAGGAACGATGTGGAGTAAAAATACCATGTGAAAAGTATCGCCCATGTACTCAGCAACTTTTCTGCCACCTTGGTTTCTTTTCTGGAGGAATCATATAGAATTCGTGCATAGTGGCAATGTAGGGGGCAGATGTATGATGACTAAAAAGCCAGCACCTCTTAGAATGCAGCGAATCTCTGTTTGAATAGTGTTTTGTTTTGTTTCTTTGTCATCCTGCATTTGCAGGTGAAATGTATTTATATCTCAAAAAGACAAGGCTCAAAAAGTTAGGCTTTTAGAGATGAACAATTTAGGGAGGACATAACCATCTTTTCCAAAAGACTTAAAATTTTGTAATTATTTTACGTGTGCAAGTGTTAATGTTAATGTCTTTCATTTTGAGCTGGAAATTCACCATCACATCCCTGCACAATTTCAGTCAATCACATAGGGAAAATGAACATGGTATAAAAGTTTATACATAATAGATACACAGTTCAATAGTGTGGCCCTGAAATTTGTGGAGTGATGCCTAGGTGCTACTTGCTGAAATGCTAGGGGAAATGGTCAGGAATCATAAAATATTCTAATTTCAAGTTATCCACTGACATTATTTTCATATCATATTGCACACACTATACTCAGAAAACTAAAGCTAGCTGAAATGAGTTGGAGGTACGGCTATTATTTTGCTCCACTAATAGATATCATTCTGTAGCCCTGTAATTAATTTCTGCCAAGTGTTTTTAAAGTGATGCCAGCCACATTGGGGATCCCAGAAACATACTACTACTTTATTCTGCCTTGATCAGACCTTACCTGGCATAGTATGTCCAGGTCTAGGCAACACGGTTTAAGAAGGACATTAAGAAGTTGGAATGTATCCAAGGGAGGGTGGCCAGGATGATAAAGAATTTGGAAACCAAGCCCTACAAAGAGCAGTTGGGGGAGCTAGGCACATTGAGTCTGGGGAAAAAGAGGACTGAGAGGTGATATAATAATCTTCAAGTGCTTGAAAGGCTGTCACATAGAAAACAGAGCAAGCTTGTATTCTTCAGTTACAGATGATAGGACAAGAAGTACTATAATAGATCTAAATTAAAGGAAAGGAAATTTTGATTCAACTTTAGAAGGAACATCCTAACAGTGGGAGCTCTTTGACAGTGGAATGGACTACCCCATAGGGTAGTGGATTCTTCAATATTGGGAGGCAACATGCTGTCTAATTTTCAGCCCCACTAGGTGGGGTTCTGCCTCTTTCTCGTGTGACTCCATCCCTGATATGATGGAACATGGGATTCCATCACACCAGGAACCAAAGAGGCTGAAGAGGGTTGCTGTGTGGAGGAAGAAAAATGCTGCACAGAAGGAGGTGGCATCACATGCCTTAGAGGGAACCTTGTTGGGAAGTGTTTAAACAGAGGTTGGATGATCACCTGTTAGATATGTTATAGGTAGGAGGTTCCTGCTTTAGCAGTTGACTGGACTTGCTGATCCCTTCTAGCCCTAGGAAAGACTCACAATAGGAAAGACTCACAAATTTCCTAGGTTTAGTCCCCCGGATTCTGCCATGCTGTCCACTGGGCTAGTCTCTAGAAACTACAATATGGCAGTTTTTATGGAGAGGTCCAATGGCAAACCCTCTTTAAAAGTTCAAGAAAAAATTGAGATAACTGCCCCCCCCCAAAAAAGCAATGACTGAAGAGGGAAAAATATGCTGCAGAAATACAAAACTAGTTAAGAGCCCCAGATGACCCCAACATAACAAAGGTGCAAAAATAACACATGAATGCCTCTCCAACAGTGTTACTACTCATTACTTTTCAAAAGTAGCAACATTAACAATACTGTTATCCCCAAAATAATGTGTTGAGATGTTATTTATAATGCATTAGCAAACTGGAAGTGGCTGTAGCATTTGCAAAAAAAAAAAAAAAAAAACAGCTTGTCAGGTCAGACAGTTTTATGCCTGATCCCTAAAAGCTCTTCAGAATTTTATAGAACTCTAGGGGAAAATCAGAAGCCTGTGTATGTCATAGCTGGCATTTATCCCCCAAAAGGTGTAATTCCACAATGAAACCAGATAACCATTTCCAGTCATATCAATGTGGGTATCAAGGGTATCTTTTCAATGCTGCAATAATTCCAGGCAAATCAGCATGTCTGTTTCTAGAAGCTTTGTTCATCTAGATTATATTTGTGTTGCACATACTCAAAATACTTCAGAGTTTTTGAAAGCATATAACCTGGAAGTTACAGGCACATTTCAGTTAGACAGAAATCAATATACACGAGAAGCTGTAGGCACAAATACTGAAAACTATATGAAAAATAAACATAAATTGCCAGCTAATACTTAATCAGATTTCAATTCAAAATACAGGGGTATTAAAGGTACAATACAAGTATCAAAAAGTATCTCATACGCTGAAAAGGTACAATGAAAAAGCAGAGAATACTTCTCTTAAAATAGCCAAGTTTTAAAAACAAGAATATATAAAATAAAATACATTTCTTAGCCTTTAAGCATTATAAGGACACACAGAGAAAACTATTGAATAATATGTTCACCCAGCCAAGCCAGCCACATGCCAGTCTGCATGTAGGGAGGGAAATCCATGATATTTCTTGACAGCTTTTGCAAATGAAGCCTGCTACTGTTGCATTGCACCCTATTGACAGAAAGAATTTTTCCAATAAGAATCCCTTTTACTTTTACCAGAGGGGTAGAATGTATCTCTCATAACAAGGCTGGCAAGTTGCCCCTATCACAGATAACTAATATTGTTTTTACAAAATAGTAAGTTGGTACTGGATAGGCAAAATGTCATAGGTGTAAAATGCCAGTGAACTAAATTGGTCAGGTACCAATTTGCTCTATCCATGTTTTAGGATTTTTTTTCTTTTACTCTAGGAGTTTTTTTCCCTCAATTGTTTTATATTTGTAATGATTTGTTGACACATTTGACTGTCATGAAAGATTATTATTATTTTTTTTTTGCAAGGCAACATTATTGTGCATTGACCTTGCTTCTAGACTTGGCCGGAGAACTGGCTGATTAGTTCTCAGTGACTTTTAGTAAACTGCTGTTCATTTTTAAAGCCCAATGTACTCTTCCATGATTGCATTTTTTTCCTACACACCCTTTAATTTTTAAAGCACTTCATACACACAAAATGTCACATATTGACAAGCTAGTCATGGAGAAATGACGCATGTTACAAATTGCTAACAATTATGAGGGAGAGATGGTTGGACAGTGTCATCAAAGCTACCAACATGAATTTGACCAAACTCCGAGAGGCAGTGGAAAACCGGAGGGCTTGGCATGCTCTTGTCCATGGGGTCACAAAGAGTTGGACACAACAACTAAACAACATGAAGGAGAGGCTGGAAAACAAATGTTTTGCCCAACTTATATTTTGTTTTGACCAGCTCCCACGTTGCCAGATTATGAAGGCATTGATGCATCTCTGAATGAAACGGCCACAACCATAACTGTACTCCTGAGACCAGCACAGGCGAAAGGTGCTCCTATCAGGTAAAGAGGAAGTACAAAGAACTACAGTATTTGAATTCATGTGTAATACGAGAACAAATCCTCAGATAAGGATTTGTCCTCATTTATTCAAAGCATGAATGATCCTAATGCTCTTTGACTTAGCTATGTATGTCATGTTCTGTCACATTTCAATGTTTGTTGGATATGGCTTATTTGCTTAATTGATTTATACTTTTTCTAGTAAACATGGTAGTCTGCTAGTCCAGGTCCAGTAGAGGAAACCAGAGAGGTCTGGGATGAAGCTCCTGTTGTGCAAAGGACATGTCATAATATCACAGAACAGATAACAGATGAAATCCTGTTTCTTAGCTTAGTGAGTTGTGCTTGAATAGGCCCACTGAATCAGTTGGGGATGTGGTGAGTCGAATTCTTAGTAGTTCCATTAGGTTCACTCTAGTTGTCACTTACTTTGACTTAGTAAGTCACAACTAAAATAGGCCTATTTGAATCATTAGAATTTATGGAAGCGTTGACTTACCAAATCCCCACTGATGTAGTGGGTCTACTCCAGTGTGACTTACTTAGCTAAGCTACAGGATTTCAGCCAATGTCTCTCAATCACAGCCATTAAAATCTGTAATCATTATACGCCTGCAATGGTATATGTCCGCTGACAGGAAATTATGGCCTACAGCCAGCCATAACCTGCATTGGATGTTCCAGCCAGTCAGTCCCTGCCCCCAGATGTGATAACTTGGAAAAATTATCAAGAATCTTTCATACTTTGAAGACTATTTTGCTTGCTCATTTGTTGTTTCATTACCTTTATACCCCACCCATGTGGTGCTGAGGCATTACTAAGGCACATCTGAAGAAGTACAGTGAAGTCCATAAAAGCTTGTGTCAAAATAGAGCTTGTAAATCTTTAAGTTGCCACAAGTCTTTATTGTTTTTACTAATCATACTGCTGTCTCCTCGGAATTTTGGATCCCAGAAGTAAAATATGGAGATGACAGGAGCAACAGATTAAGGGAGGGATGTGAAGATGGAAGAAGATAAAACTTTCCTGCATGCTTCTTTTCATCCACTTTGTATATGAAAAATCCACCTTGACTCTCATTCTTGTTCTTTCTTCACTGACTTGGTTAGCTCCTTAAGACAGGATAGCCTCCACACCACCCCCAGCCAATGTTCTGAAATCAGATGTTCTTGATGCCAGTTGACTTCTTTTCTTGGAATCTCAAGAATATGTGAGTGCTAACAGTTAAACAGTAGCTTGATTTCAATATCACATTATGTAGTGTAGGAGTCAATCTTCCCTGCATATCTATTCCCTTGTATACTTTGCCTGCTCCACGCACAGGCCCCTTGAAGCAGATGTTCCATAATCCAATTCAAATCTGCAGGTGCCGTCAATCATTCCTTAAGATGCAACATGCTGCAGTAGTCACAGTTCTAATCATGACATAATCGTGTCTTGCCTGCCAAGTGTTATCTCATAATCTCTAGTTTTCTTTATGGTCTCTTGAAGTTGTAAACCAAACAGCAGACATGAAATTCAAAGGGAGACTGGATGAATCAGTATTTATAATCAGATATTAAGCCTTACCATTTACTGGGCAAAAGTCTCTCAACTCATCCAGTCAGGAACAAACATTTATTCATCAGTGAGCTGCACAGAAAAGTCATTTGCTTATCACTGGCAGCATGTACTAGTTAAGCCTCTCTACAGAACAGTGTCTGCAAGATTTATAAATAAATATGCTAAGAAAGTGCTAATGAATGATTATAGGTACTCTGCTGATTTTTTTTCTGTACTGGATTTTTCTGAGGGTTTTTCAGACAGATAGCACTTTAATGTTCTATATTCAGTGAAGAGAAAAAAAGATGACTAAGAACTGGTAAATTTCTCTACCTTGGGCCTGCTTGCTCTTTCTCACAAACAGAAGCAAAACAAAGCAAAAGCAAAGTGTGTTGCTTATATTCCACCCCATAGAGCACTCTCTGGATGGTTTACAGTTTAATTATGCAAGCTACACATTGCCTCACCTCCTCCCCAACAAGCTGGTCCTCAATTTATTGACCTTGGAAGGATGGAAGGCTGTGCCAACTTTGAGCTGGTTGCCTGAACCCATCCGAATCAAACCAAGTCCTGAGCGGAATCTTGGCTGCAGTACTGTAGTACCACTGCACAACAAGTAAATAAGTTGATATCTTTTCCTGGCAGATTCCCTTCCCTTAATACTAGTTTTGTTTGTGTAAGTATATTTTTGCAACTATACAGTTTCCCCTCTGGAGCCTAAATTGGCACGAAGCAGGGTCACATTTATCCCTTCATCTGCTGATTTATGAGCTAAAGGGCCTTGAAAAACACAAACACTGTTGTTCCTTTTGGGAATTCACATAATTGTAATAAGTGGGCAAAGGCGTAGCAACTTCTCCCCAATGCCCGCCCAACCACACCAGAACACACACATCAGAAGTGCTTCAAAATTTCATTCATTTAGTACAAATGGGTGTTGGGAGCAGAACATGCTTCAAAAGTTCCTTTTGACTAGGTACCATGTGATCATCAGAGTTCCTGGTCACACAGAGCCTTCTAAACACATTCAGCTGAGCAAGCTTCAAATCCTTCTTGAGATATTCATCCAAATATATAAAGGTCTCCAGCAGAGCTGGGAAGAGTTTATTTTGGACCATAACTCCTAGAACCCCCCCCCCCCAGGCAGCATAGCCAGTAGCCATGGTGGTTGGTAGACCTACTGAAAGTTTAATACATTTTTGCAATTCTTGCCGCAGGTAAAATCTTGATTTCATGTTAAAAACAGAAATTGGTCCATAAATAAACCATCAGACAGTATCTCTTCCTTTTCTGTTCCCCATCTTCTTTGTTTTACAGATGTGCATTGCACTCTATCACCAGTCTCCCTCCTGGCCTTATTCTTCCAAACTAGCCAGATATCACAATTGACAGGTTTGCTGATCACCTGGTGCTTTGGAGAGCAGGAAGTCTTGTCAATTGTTTGTTGTTGGCAGCTCAGAAGGAAGGAGTGACAGTGTCTGCTGAGGCAAAGATAAGATATCTGTGTTCCCTACAGAGTGAAATAGTCACCTATAAAAATATTCACTGTGAGTGCCAAGATTCCGGAAAGGAGGAAGTAAAGAAAGAAAACATATCTAAAAATAAAATAAAATGGAAATGAAAATGAAATTTTCTTTTGTTTTGTGCATATGTTCACACTCTTTGACATTTATATGGATCATAATTGCTATGTTTCCCCCCTCCCTTTCTCTGTTTGTTTGTGTGTGTGTGTGTGTGTGTGTGAGAGAGAGAGAGAGCGAGAGAGAGCGAGAGAGAGAGAGCGAGAGAGAGAAAGGTTCAAATCTCTGTTCAGCCATGGAAACTTCATGTCCTTCGTTTCAGGCATCCTTTTTCTCTCCAGTTTTAATAATGTTTGTTTTAATATTATTTGGATTTTCTTTAGGAGAAAGGTAGGAGAAAGGTGGGGAATATGTATTTTAAATAAACAAATTAAATAACTGACCACTAGGCAACCTTGTGCCCTCCAAATGCCTTGCAGAACAATTCACATTATCCCTCCTGGTTGGAGCTTGTGCGTGTTTGGGTTCAAAGGAACACATTGTTTCCCTACTCTAGAGTAGAATTCAGCACTGCTCCACACAGATAAATTTCATCATTGATCAATCAGTTAAAATCTGCATCTGAACACATGCTAATTTCTCTTGAAAACGGATGCTGTGATTCACTATTAACATTTAAGTGCTGCGGATGGATTTGAGACTGGGAAAAAAATGAGATAAAACCATCCTTTGATGCAGACCAAGGTTAATATTCCCATCTTGCAGACTAGGACAGCAGCTTCAACAATTCTGGATTATGATCTCCCATTTTAGAAAGGGACTGAAGTCATTCTGTGCTCTTATAATTAGTTTCTAATAATGGCTTTAATTTATTTACTTTATATCCTACCTTTCTCCAATGAATTGGTTAGGTTCAAGAGCTGTCATCTACTTGATCTTCATTAGTGTTTCTATAAGTCCCTCCCCTTTCCATCAGCCACAGGCCAACCACAGGCCAGTGACACATCCTCATCAATGGATTATGGGAAGTAGTTATTTTTGCTGATTCCTTAAATAATGGGAAGGGCTTTGCTTTACAGTCCAGGACTCACTGAAGAGGTAGGCAGCTGAATGTTGGTCAAATATGAGTCCAACGGTCCCTCAAGGTCTTTCAGCCATCCAATAATGGAGTCCCAGCAAGGAAACCCCCATTTTAAAAACAAAATGCTTGGCAGAGAGTGGGACCTTAATGGGAAGTGATAATTTTGACTGAGCAATAGAACTTTAATTGAAAAACACTGTAAACCTGGAAATAATTTGTTTCTTGCATATGAATGCTGGACATGACACCACCATATAGTCCACCTCCCTGCCATGGAACTTTCACACTGCTGCTTTTAAGAATTAATCCTTTTCATCAGAATTTATGCAGTTCTATGGAGGCATGCCAAAATAGAAAGTTAGTGCTAATTTCATTTCTCTTTCTTTGTGTTTTTAAAAAATGTGTTTATTTATTTAGAAATAAATTGAAAACAATTTCCAACATAATATAGTAGATAAAGTGATGGACTAGAACTCTGGAGGACAGGGTTCAAATCTCTGTTCAGCCATGGAAACTCACTGGGGGAGTGGAACTGGTAAAACCACTCCTTAAATATCACCCTTACCTTGAAAACGCTATTAGGGTCACTCACTGTAAGTCGGTTCTGATTTGATGGCACAGAATACACAAAAAGAAAACAACAGACACCTATCATTAAGCTCATACATCAGTAATATCCATCTGAAGTTAATATTTGCACCAAATATAATGAACGAAAACCAAAAATATGCACAGTCACAGATATCCAAAACTGAATCACAGAAAAGGAGGCAGAACCACACAGCTGGGTGTGGAAACCATCTTGGAACTCAAATTTGAAAACTACCTGTGCGCAAACTAGAGTTAAAGCTGAGAAGGAAAGGGAAGAAGCTCGTAGTCTTCTTGTTTAACCATGTTTACAGGGTAAGTAGTGTTATGTCAGTGTGTGGCCTAATATTTAGGGCTATATAATAGAGAACACTTAGAAAGCTCAGAATATTGCTTAATTTGTTGATACTTTCTTCTACAAGATGCATATTTCCTTGAAGTATTCTCTCCTACACAGATTGTTGATTCTTTATCTTTTAATATAACATTGTATTTTATTTTATTTTATTTTTGGCAGCAGAGTGGCTTGGGGAAAAAATTAGAAATGTTGGAAATTGTTATGTTTTTTTAGAGCAAGAGTTAAAATCATCTTTGTCCAGAAGATCCATGAGCTGATTGTCAATTAGTCTCATGTTTCAGCTGCTTGTCTCTTTTACTCTGGAGGAAAATTAGAAGTATGGTTACCTTCCCCACTAAAACGAGATTTTTATGACGAATGAACAAGAGCTGTCATTAAATGGAAGGTACTGGCAAATTTAGGCTGAAGTTTGGTTTTGGGGTTGTTGCATTTTCTGAAATTTCTTCTAATTAAATAGGATGAATGCCATCTGCTCCAGCAATTTGTAGTGTTTTTGACAGCGGTGATGGTAGGGAAAGTAGACAGACTATTTAGAGCAAGTGGACAGATTTCCATCCATCTGTGCTTGTATTACAGAATGTCGCTTATACTTTAGATCTCTATAGCTGTGCGCCAGGCTAGATGTCACATCAAGGTCAAAGGTGGGGATGCTTGTCGAAACACTTTGTCTCACATAATATGACAACTACAAATTGGTGCTCTGGGTATTGTTTAGGGCCACTGCACTGGGCCTTGAAGGCAGGTTTTCTATAATGCCAGAGCAAAGGCAATGATGGCATTATCAAAAGGAAGACTTGCTCTGTTCTAAGTATCTATGCCTAATGTGAGATCCACTTTCAAGCTGCATAATGCTTAATTCAGTCACTCGTTCCCTTTCTTACTCCCTTATCTAAATAGATCTAGATCTCTGTGTGTTCTGTTATAACCAGTTTATAGCAACCCTAATAGGGCTTTCAAGGTAAGTGAGATATTTAAGGAATGGTTTTACCAGTTCCACTCCACCAGTGAGTATCCATGACCAAGTGGGGATTCGAACGTTATTCTACAGAGTCCTAGTCCATCACTCTATAGACCACATTGGGAATCAGATAGATATCCAAGCGTTCTCCCAATAAGAGGGCTTCAAAGTCTATGCTGATATTGTGTAAGGGTTTCTTCTTGTTCCTTCAGATGTTTAGTTGGAACAAAGATTAGAGGAATGGTACTGGATGATGTTGGGAATGAGAGAGAGTTGAATGCCATAGGAAATGAAATAAACCATTTTCCAGTGAGGGCCCTGCACTGAAAACGTTCAGATTTTAAAGGTGTTAAGTTGTCCCTTCCTCATATATTTTTTGTAGCTGGTTATGGAACCAAAACATGATGTGCTATAAATCTGGTGTCATGTTATGAATATTGTTGTTTTTCTTGGTTTTGAACAGTGCCTATCAAATTGTTGTTGAAGAGTTGCATCCCCATCGGACCAAAAGAGAAACAGGTGCCATGGATTGCTACCAGATTCCTGTCACGTATCAAAATGCTCTGAGTGGTGGCTCTCCATATTATTTTGCTGCAGAATTGCCACCTGGCAATCTTCCTGAAGCAGCCCCTTTCACAGTTGGAGACAACAGAACTTATCAAGGCTTCTGGAACCCACCTCTGGCTCCTCGGAAGGGGTATAATATCTACTTTCAGGCCATGAGCAGTGTTGAGAAGGTAAGCATCTTACCAGTTTTCATTCTGCAAGAGTGGTAGTACGCCAAATTATTTTGCTGAAGAATTGCCACTTGGTGTTCTGCAACAAATCCTAAATATTGCTGGGGATTATTTGGATTATTATCCAGACAAATGCTTTATGTTAACAGGTGAGCGACTGTGGCCCTCCAGATGTTGTCAGGCTGCAAATCAGCCATAGTCATCTTATCAGTGGCAAGGGATTATACCCATTGAAGTCCAATAATAGGTAGAGAGCTCTTCCTGTACAACACATGGATTGGCCTCCACATTTGTAGTATTATGCATGATATATGGGTACATACCTCTATACTTCACATAGCAGCCTCCTCCCGTGCAGCCAGTGTTTGATTTCCCCCAGATCATCTCAAAAGATGCTTGTTGAGTAGTGTGGAAACCTGTTGAGAGGAAGAATAATAGTGGGCTTTTAAAGAACTCTTGCCTGATTTTGTATGCAAAGACTTCTATAAGGGTAGGAAAAGAAGATTCTACCAAGGGTTCATACTCTGATTCAGAAAATGATGGGAAGGCTTTGTCTTCTGAGTGGAGGCTGAAGGTCCTTTCTCTGAAAGAATAGATAGACTTCTCTTTTTATTACTTGTCTTCTGTATCCTGGGAAGGCCAAGCACTGGGAGACGTGACAATTAGTTGATTCATTAAAACATTTTGATCTTATGTTTCCTTCAAACCATGACAGTATGGTTTTAGAACAACAGAAAACTGAGAGCATCAGAACTGAAAACGGCAGTAAATGTTCAATAAAATATTCTTATCAGTTTCAAAATCTAGACCCTTGTCCATAGGTGGCCTGAGACATTTTAATGTTTCTTACAGAAAATCCCAATGGCATGCCTATGTGGTGGATGGATAATATAACCAAAATTGCCTGTTTTCTTTCTGTGTTATCCCCAAACTAGCCACCTGAAACAAATCATCTCACAGTTTCTGTCACACAAAGGCTGAAATCCTGTTGTGTAGCACCATGAAAAAATAGAGCAGTAGCAGTAGCAGCAGCAGCAGCAAGTAATCGCCACTGATTACAAATGTCATCATCAGCAGAGCTGCACAAACAGGATTTCAGTCAGTGAACCCCCAAATTTTGCTTCATATTGTTAGAGACTAGGGGACATATGGATTGATACTCTGGCTTTCTTTTTCAAACAAGATGCTTCTGTGCCACTCATATTTGATGCAATGTTTTTTTCATAACAAATATTACTTTTTGAAAATTTAATAAGTCTTTGAGCAGTACCTTCTGTGAAATAAGTTTAGCCATGTTATGATTTCCCATTTCCAGGAAAATAATCCTCAACCTACGTTCTGTTCTCAGTGCCTGTTGAGTTCACAAGATTAAATTGCTTCAGGATAAACAAAATCCAGGTTGCTCGGCAGGCTAATAAAACATTACCAACTTTTCAGGCCCTCATACGCTAAACATCAAATTAAAAAGAATTGTTTTTTTAAAAAAAACACTTATTGTGAAGAAACTCCTATATTCTTGTATGTTTGTGGAATGCCTCAGTACACAAGTTCAAATTGCCTGCCTGCTGCGCTAGTACTAAAAGTATGACTGCAGTTTGCCTTTGCTATTTCCTCACTGTTTGATATTGTGATGCTGCTGAGGACTGTTTCTGTTTCTCTATGCATATTGATAGAGAACAAAGCAACAGGAAGTTAAATACTGTAGGTAGCTCTAGGTGTGAAAAGCCACATGATTCGATAGACCCCATTCTGCTGCCACTGAATCGTTTTCTCTTATAAAATGAAATATGAGATGGAAAAGGGAGAAACGGCCTTGACAATAGGCACTGAGATATTTAAAACTTTAGTCTGTGAATTAAGTATAGTCTTGTGCAAAATCTCTGCCTCTTGGTTATTGTGTCCCAGTAGCAGATGGCTGGGGCAAAATGAGGGGAAAGGAGGGATTTAGGGGAGATTGCTCCTAGATTGGTAGGCTTCAGGAAAGTTAATCTGCTTTCTGAAGAAACCACAGTGTTTTGAGCTCTGCCCTTTGGACCTGTGTTCCAGTTCGTAATGAAGAGGTCATAGCTATCCGTGACTCTGCCAGGGAACCTTTGGAATAAAATCTTGCTTAATGTCTATCACAATAGGAATTAGCTGTTCACTGTAGCAAGAGAGGGAGAATGCTGTAGCTTGTGAAACTGTATGCTAGGGCACTTATACAGCTGGAAGATTTTCCTGATGAGAGAAAGATAAGCTAATGTGTGTTTGTTTACATGAGCAACTGTGGAATTGGATGTTGGTTCTATCAAAGTATAACACCAAATTAACCTACATGGTCAATTGAGTTAGAGGTAGAAGATAGGCATAACATCTGGGAGAGCAGTATGCCAGTATCGAAAAGTTGTTTTACACATTCCTGTCCAGATGCTCCATGGCCTTCCTTCAGCCTACATTTAAAACCTGTACTAGAGGCCACTGTACAGTATGCTGGAGGGGTTGTAAACATAAGGGGATTTTCTTACACATCTGGTGGGAATGTGAAATCATGCAGAAAATGTAGCATGAGGTATCAGAAGTGATCAGTTGTGCCCCATTCAGGCATAATGCTTCCAGTAGATTCAGACCAGATTTTGCTGCCTTTTGACATTGACAGTGGGATACCTAGGTCACAACCCATCTTAGTATCTTACTTACAGTTAAAAGCTAAGCCAAAGTTAGCTAAAAAACTAGATTTCTTCATAATGGCTCCCTCTTCAGTTTTGCATACAATGAAATTTCCTCACTGCTGAGAACAACATGCACCAAATAAATGACAACATGCACCAGGTTCAGCCAGATCCCTCTATGCTTAAACAGTGTGAGTTCTGTAATGTAGGCGAATAGCTTGGTAGATCGAATGGCATATCTTAACAAATATGAAAAGGGTTAAAGCTTTATCATTTTAGCACCTCAGTTAGCTCTGTGGTTTACTTTCACTGTCAAGAATGTTCTCCACACCAAGACTTATTTATCATAGATGAGTAGGGTGAATTAAATTTTAATCCTAAAGAATATTCTCAAATTGATGCACCTTACTGTTGCTGCTAATGGAGCTGGGGAAATAAGGTACTCAACTAATCATATTTTCTCCTACTTTTCTTCTTAACAGGAGACAAAAACTCAGTGTGTTCGCATTGCTACCAAAGGTAAGATTTTTCCCTCTCTGAATGAGAGATGTTTTATAGTGTGGTTTGCAGAAAATTACATGTGGCATTCTTGTTGCCAGGAATTTGTACTTAGAGCTGAGATAAAATCCTCCTGAAGTGTTTTAATTGCTGTCTTGACATGTGACATGATGCAGTTTCCCGGGTTTCTTTGGAGGGGAGAGCAGGGGACAGAAGGATTGCTTAACATTAGAACGAAATCCTTGACCCAACCAAGCATTATTTGAGGAAAATAAAGAAATGTCCTTGCATGAAGATCAGTAAGTTCCAGCGTTTTGAGTAAACTGAAGAGCTAGAGAAAGGAAAATGTGATATGTAATGTAGATAGTAGCAGCCCTTTAAGATAGCTTTAAAAGTTACTTTTAGAAAGCATTTTCTGACTGTTATAGTTCCAAATCACCCAACACAGTCATGTGGCAATTATAATTACATTTTTGAAAGTAAACTTTTCTCCCTGTTTCTCAGAAGTACCTGAAATAGTTGATTTGTACAAATAATACCTCAATGCTACAGGCTGTTGACCTGGAGTACAAAACATACTCTCCTCCTATCCATCTTTTTATCACCTCAGCACTCACATCAGAAAATGACACATCAAAAGCTACCACTAGAACTTTGTAATATTTCTTCTTCGCCATTTAGAGAGGACACATCATCATAATTATAAAAATAACTTGTTTGGTCAGGTTGTTTCTGACACATGGTGATCCTATTAATTAATGATGATCTTTTAAAAGGTCCTATTTTTAACAGTCCAGCTCAGGCCTTGCAAACAAAGAGCTATGATTTCCTCCATTTAGTCAACCCTTTTTATGTTAGATCTTTGCCTTTTATCTACTGTCTTCCAGTTCTCCTAACATCATTGTCTGTTCCAGTTATTCTTGTCTTCTCATTATACATCTAAAATCTGCTGGCCTTGGTTTAGTTGTTTTCGTTTCCAGTGAGAGTTCAGAGCTGAATTGTTTCAGAACCTGCTTATTTCTCTTCTTTATCATTTGTGGTGGCCATAAACCTCTCCCCTAACACCACATTTTGAATTAAAATGGATTTTCTCCCTCTCAGTTCAGCTTTCACACCCATACGTAACCATTGGGAATACTGTAGTACGAACAATCTTGGCGTTTGTCTCTAGTGACACATATTTGCTCTTAAGGATCTTTCACAGTTCCTTCATAGTTGCTCTTCCAAATCTCAAACTTCCTCTGATTTCTTGTCAAAAGTTTACATTTGATTTGATGATCGAACAAAGGTATAGAACATTTTTAACCGTTTTTTAAATTCCTCATTGTTAGTATTAAAGTTATGCAATTTTTCTACAGTTATTATTTTGTCTTCTCAAAGGGCAGGTTTATGCTGAACATGTTCTCAGTTTAATAATAATAGCAATGTTGCCTGCAGATCCACCCAATCTTTCAGTGTATTAAGTCTGGTGGATTTTTTTAAAAAAAGATAGTTATTCCTGAGAAGTATCAACAGGCCTTGATTTTCTTCTACTGCTAATGCTGGATTGTGCAGCAGTTTGATTCTAGAGGGACTACCTGCCACATACTTAATTTGAGAGGTGCTGGCATGGGAATCCATGGCCCATTTATTGACAACATTCAGCTCTTGGTATTCAAGGTCCCTTCTATGAACACTTATGGCAAATTTTAAATTGCTTAATACCTTTGAGGCTTGGAGCAATGCCTAGTGTGGGAAATATGAAATCAAATTATTCTGATAAGCACATCATCACAAGCAATAAAGAGCAAGGAACCCAAAATCACTTTGCGGCTACTTTGGCACCTGTCCCAAACTCAACAATAATCTTGTTCCCTTCTCTAATACAATTTACAAGCTTGTCTGCCAGCCAGCTTTGAGCCACTAATATTTCTAGGTAACTAATTGTGTGCCATTGTAAAGATGGTAACATAGGAACAGTTTCAAGGAAATTTTTGTTTAGAATGTTTTTAAAAATAATTTTCAAATTAAGCTGTTGACTCCACAACTATGAAAGGTAACTACAGATGTGCCTGCTGAACTGAGTGTTCTGAGGGGTTTAGGATCCAGAAAGCTCAGTTCAGCTCATTCATATCCAGTTTGTATCCTTCATAGTCCCCAGAGAAGTGAAGAGAGGACTTACTTTCGGGGGAGGGGGTTGTCTGTAAAATGCTGTAGTAAGGACTGACTGACAGGACCACCTTCAATCCTAAAACATATTTTAGTAGGAACTCTCCAGTTACATACTTTATGGTGAGGGGTTTTTGTAATTTCACAAAAGCTTCCAGCTTTCTCTTTGCACCCCATGTAAAAAATGTAAACTTATTCAGGTTTCATGACTCTCATGCTTCTTCACCTGTCCTTCTGAAATTTGCTACTGAAATGGTCAGTGCCATTTTGTATAATTTAGCAAAAACTTCCCAGAGTGGAAGGAGGCAAAGTGTTATTAAATCACTCCTTCACTTTCAAATTTGAGTACCCAGTTCTGCTCCACCAGTCCCTCTAGAACAGGGGTCTCCCAACTACAGCCCATGGGCCACATCCAGACCCTTGCCTTTTTATCCTGCCCGGCAAACGCTGCAGGCTCAGGTCCGTTCCCTTCAGCACATGCTGAAGGGAACGTGTGTACACGTGCATGTGTGTTCCTTCAGCCCTCGAAAATGTTTAAAAATGTATGATGTGGACCTCATGCTGAAAAGTTTGGAGACCCCTGCTCTACAAAATCAAAGCTTTATAAATCAGGGTCATCTCTATTCTCTCATCTTGAGAGAAGTCGTGCACAAGAAACCAAAGAAACATAAACATATCCCTTTGAAGTGGATACCATTCTCTCTTGGCAATCTGTAGCAGTTCCAGAGGCTCAGTTATGTTTGTGATGCCCTGAAGAGTTTATGAAGTGCCAAGTGGAAGCCAAATCACTGGCTTGGTTCAAACTACATTCAGCGTTAGGATTCAGAGCCTATGCCAGATAACCCATCAACAATTACTAATCCTTGCAGCATATCAAGACATCTTATGTCAAAAATCCTGCCAGTGTCCCAGTTTTGCAGTTTGCCAGGAGCTCATTTTTCCCCAATTTTCTTCAGGGTGCCATCTAATCAGATTGAAAGAACATTTCCAGTTTTTGAAAGTAATACTTTCGGTACGCATTTTAGCTCCCTCCTTTCCTTTGGAATGACTTCCAAAATTTTCTACCATTCCCCCCACCCCAGTGTCTGCCAGCCTGCTGCCACTTCCACAGCGTCATAGAATGATACTAGGTAAAGGACCTTGTAGAGGAAGCAACGTAGTGGCAAGTTTGGCACCACAGTTGCTATTGGTACTACTTATAGTGGCAGAGTGGAAAACAAAACAATGTTGTGGAAAAAGAACAAAGCTATGCTACAGTCATTGCTCATGATGAGCCCCACTCTAAGAAACTGTTGAGAGACATGCTTTTTCTCTGAGGAAATTCAGCAAAAGAGTTTCCCTAGTTTCCCTTTGCACAAATACTGTGGAGAATGCTGAAAAGCCATTTATGCATGGCTATAACTGCACATAGCATTCCCATGTATTCTGCTCTATGCCACGTTTTGCCACTGTGACTTGACACACAGAATAGCAGCTGTTCCCTTCTAAGCTTGCAAATAATAATTCTGAAATCTCTGTTCTATAGCCCAACTTGCCTTCTTGTCTCTTTCTTGCTATTGTTTCTCCAGAAGCTTTCAGAATTCTTATTGGTGGGTCCCTAGTGACACATTTTGTCATTGACTTCAAAAATGCACATTCTCCCATTTATAATGTGGCTTCTACACCCTGATATATCAGACCACAACATCTACAGTCTGACTGTTAGTTATCAAAGGTGGGGCCTGTCATGCAAGACATCTGGAAAATCCTATGAAGGCTGTCCTAAATAACAGGCTTCATGACCTTCTCAGTTAGAGGTTGTTGTTTTATTAAAATCACTAAATCTGCCCCGCCTTCCTCACCCACTTTATTGTCATTTCACATCTAGCCAGTTTCTTGGAAGCTGACTCTGGTGACAAAGATGACAGTTTGTTTGTAGTTTCTTAATAGTTAAAATCCCTTTAAGGCTTTGGTCTTACTTACTTACTTACTTACTTACTTACTTACTTACTTACTTACTTACTTACTTACTTACTTACTTACTTACTTACTTACTTACTTACTTACTTACTTACTTACTTACTTACTTACTTATTTATTTACTTACTTACTTACTTACTTACTTACTTACTTACTTACTTACTTACTTACTTACTTACTTACTTACTTACTTACTTACTTACTTACTTACTTACTTACTTACTTACTTACTTACTTACTTACTTACTTACTTACTTACTTACTTACTTACTTACTTACTTACTTACTTACTTACTTACTTACTTACTTACTTACTTACTTACTTACTTACTTACTTACTTACTTACTTACTTACTTACTTACTTACTTACTTACTTACTTACTTACTTACTTACTTACTTACTTACTTACTTACTTACTTACTTACTTACTTACTTACTTACTTACTTACTTACTTACTTACTTACTTACTTACTTACTTACTTACTTACTTACTTACTTACTTACTTACTTACTTACTTACTTACTTACTTACTTACTTACTTACTTACTTACTTACTTACTTACTTACTTACTTACTTACTTACTTACTTACTTACTTACTTACTTACTTACTTACTTACTTACTTACACTTGGAGTTTCTACATCAGCCTCAAAGGCAGCCCCACGTAGAGCGTGCTACAGTGGTCTAATCTTTAGATTATGAGCGCATGTACCAAGGTAGTGAGCACCCCCATGTCGAGGTAGGGTCGCAGCCAGGCAATCCACCAAAGGTGGAAAAAGGCAGTGCAAACTACCGACGCCACCTGGGTTTCCATGGTGAGCGTCGGGTCCAGGTGTACCTCCAGACTGCAAGCCCCACTCTTAGCAGCCAGGGTCACACACACCCCCAGATATGAGAGAGCCACCCAGG